ATATGCATGGGTTTATCATACATACAAGACAGTGATTTTCTTTATTACTTGACCAAGAACAAGGAGATTCAGTTTTTACTAATTAAGGTTCATTTAAGGTTGATTTCCTCTGGAGATGAGTGGTGTCGTGTCCACCTCCCTTTTCCACCTGCAGCTGAACTGTTTCCGTTTCATTTACTCACTGTCCAGTAGAGCTGTCACCGTTGGCTCAAAGTTCCAACACTCGTTTAAAAATAAAAACACTTCCATTTGTTCACACTCAAAATGTAGTTTATAGATCGAGCCGTTCCTGGGGTAGTTTGCCATAGTGTCCAGCAGAGGCCGCTCTTAGATTTTACTAGCAGCTCAACCTACTGTATTTCTGACCTGTTGAGCTTTCAGTAAACTAAAGTAATCAATACAAATTGTGATCAGATCATTTGGAATTTTTGCACGGATTTTAGGTTGTAAAATGACAACAGAGATCAGGCTGTCTGGACTTTACAAAACGCAGCTGCCTTTCTCCACCACAACAAATCTGAGGACTCACCTGCTGCTGTAACACAGGTAAAGAATCTGAGTTTGAAAAATAAAAGGCTGAAATCTCATTTACTGTAAGTACATGCTGGGGATAATACTTCTGTACTTCTAGTATCCAGGACTTTTATCTGTAATGTTGTGTAAAATGATTACATCAGACTTATCTTGTTATGCATGGGCCACTGTACTGTGGTAACCTCTGACCTCCTGGAGAACCCCCCTCCCCCAGTGTTAATCCTCCTCATTGCACTGATGATGAACACTCAGCTGCTAGTTTGACCCCTACTGTTTCAAACCATCTCGTGGACTGGAGGCATTCGAGTGACAATGGGATAAACGGCCGCTGTCCGCTGAGCTGCAGAGGGACGGGGTGGACAGGAACAACAGTGTGATTTGGACGGCTGCTTGGTGCCGGCAGCAGTGACAAAAGCTCTGCTGTTGCAGCTCCAACACGTTGATTCACCGCTCAGCTGACAGAGGGAGCGCTTGTTCAACAGCACACACTCCGTCCCAGCAGGGTCATGTGTAACACATACACACACAATGGGGGGCAGTTAACTTCAGGTTGCACTGCTGTACAACCATGGTTCAGCCGGGACAATGCACAGACTTTGTCCTCTGTGCATGTGTATACGTCGTGGGGTATTGTAAGCCAACACTGGGCTGTTATACAACTGATCTGATTTTATGTGTGTGTCCAGACTGGCCTGACACTGCTCTGCATGCAGAGAAAGAGATTTACCAACAGACAGTTCTTGGTTCTGATTGGCCCAGGGTGTGTTGGCTGAGTTGAGACGTTCAGGGCTCCTGTGATCAAGGCTGGATCACCACCTGGGCAAAGCAGCGGCTGTTCAGAGCCACAAACCCACAGGTTTCCCTTCAGCCTACCATCTCAATATACTTATCACAAAGTCTAAGCTGCATCACTGAAATGCAGTATCACCTCTGAAGGATCCTCCGCAGCCACACCAGCCGCTCATGGACCAGATATTTCAGTACCTTGTCATAGTCTTTGTCTGGGGGCTGACCAGTAAACCAGTCTGCAGTTCTTCAAACTCACATCCTCTCTCTCATATCACTCCTGCTGTAACCCCATTATATGGACTCGCTGATCATGTGATCTCAGTGGAGGAGCACAGACAAGGACCATCTGTCGGTTCAGAAACACTCTAAGCCTGCTGCTGTTTTCATCATCAGCCGGGTCAGCAGGGGCCCGGACGGGATTACCCAGCATGCTCCATGCCAGCACCTATCCATTCACCCATCTGTCCAAATTCCACTGCACTGATAAATATCTTTAAACAGTTTTGGTTTTTGGTTAAAATAAATAAATAAATAAATAAAAACATAAAAATTTTACTGAACAGTGTCGAACTTGTTCCCTGTGCAGTTTCACCTGTGTGTGTCCAGCACTGAGACACGTGGTGGACTCGTGTAGCCTAGCTCCACCATCTCCGGCTCTAGTAAACAAACCCCATCTCACTCTTGATTGGATTGCTGACTAGCTTGTTAGCTGACAAGCTCTGTAACTCGGACAGACCTGTGTTCTTCCAGGTCACCAATTTATAACAATCTCTCCAAGTCTCTTAATCGCATCCGTGTTTGCCTCATTTGTGTCTTTTCTCTTAGTCCCTCCCACATAAGATGCAAGGAAAAGATGTGAGGACAGAGGAACTGAGGAAACATTTTCAGAGACAGGAGATGTCCTTTCCTTTGATCGTGTCCAATCACCAACTGATTTTTGATAAAGGGGCGTGTTCATCTGTAACAGGCTTCAGTTAGGATGCGTTCGTCTCTTTTCTCCTCAGAGCAGGAATAAGAAATTTGTGATGTCCTTCAAGGTGGCAAATGGCCACAGCTTCCAGGTTGGGTGAGGATGAATCATTTCAGGGAACTGGGATGTGTCCATTGTGTATCTATCTCTGCAGAGGACACAGAGACTGGTACTGACAGTCCCTCACCCTCTGGAGGTGTTAAATCATAGAGGAATGTTTCCTAACAGTCCTTTAATTTCTCACCACATCTGGCAGGTTTACAGGTGCTATGTAGAGGAACTGCCACAGCAGGTCGACATAGACACGGCTCAGACGCTGCAAGCCAAAGATGTGGAGGGCAGGATTTGTCGTTCCATCTGCATCATGTCCTACAGTGTGTGAACTGGGCCCGAGCGCTGATGTCTGACACTGTAATGTGATTACTGTACATGTCATGTAGGTTTTCATCCCGATCTGCACAACATGTTCATAATTAATCTTGGCATAAATCTGAACTTTGGCAGCCTGAGCCTGTGACACATATTGCAACACACACGGCCACACTGTAAACAGACAAATACCAGGCTCAGACACTCGTCACAGGCATTAATGTGGCCAGCGTGGCTCTTATTTACATCACACAACCTCACATAAAAACCCGTTGGTGCGCAACTAAAATACAGCATAGAAGCACATAACACAGAAATACTCCTTAAAGGAGTAGTTCAAAGAAAATGTCCTTTGTCTACAGAGATAAAAAGGTGTCATTAGCATTAAAAAGGAGCTGCATCCCTGAATCAGACCACACCATTCAAATGTAAAACGAAACCTCACAAATAATCGTCGGTGGTAAAATTGTGTTGTTGTGGAGCTGCATCATCACACATGAACTGAGATTAGATGAACATTTAGCTCTGTGTATGAATGTTACTTTAATACAGCAGCAGCTGGTCTGTCGCTGAGCCAGGAACCAAAGAACCTAAACAAAACCTGATGTATTTCCTCTGGTAAAGGTGCTGCTTTCTAAGGAAAACTTCACAGTGTCAGGAAAGGTGCTTATTTACTTTCTTGAGTTGTATATGTTCGTGTTCATACTGCTCTCATGTCTGTACGGTGACTGCGAAGCTGCAGCCAGAAGAAAACAAGCATAAATTCACACCTTATTAATGCCGGCGTGATGGAAATAAGAGCAGGAGGGCATCACCTCTGATGGCAACACGTGTTGTGGTAAAAACAACCAAGTATGCCTCTCTAGGAAACCTCAGCTCCGTTTTCTCTGAGAGAAAACAAATTCTCTCTGTTTATGTATCCTGAAGCATTTGTGACTATTACACATTGATAACATCCACATCAGGTCTATACCACAAAGATCTAAATTACAAGAAGTAGGGGGCCATTGTCTGGTGACCAGTGCACTGAGTTCAGTGATTAACAAATATTTCCAAATATGCAAAGCAACCAAATGATCTTGTTAGCTCACTCTCCGTTTAGCAGGAGTCAGAGCGAGGTGAACTTCACTGGTAACCACCTGGGAACAACCTGCAAATGCTCTCTAATCAGAATGACGTGAGGTTTTCTGCCCTTCCAATTTAACCAGTGAACATGGTTTAGCTTTGTGTTACAGCACCTCTTCACTCTGTCCTGTTGTATTTCAGGGAAACCCGCTCTCTGTTGACCCCCTGATGGCATGAGAACGGAGCAGAGACTTTTCCTTCTCTACTCAAACATGACGCAATACGAGACTCAGGCAAGGCCATTCATTAAACATGAGCATCTAAAAATAAAGGCACACTCCTCTTGTTAATCTGGGCCAGAGCATCGGCACATGAGAGACAAAGAGAAAAAGAAGTGTTTCACACAGAGAGGAAGAGGAGGATGTTTCATCTTCGTGGTGACCAAAGGGTTTACTGCCTGACCTCAGACCTGATGGGGCCCTTCAAAGGAAATACACTACTCTGTATTATCAGTCATGCAGCTGGACAATGGTTACAACACCAGCAGGTCACAAAGATAATAAAACTCTCTTTGCAAACTAGTAAAACCATAAAGTTTTTGTCTTTTGATTATTTTTTTTATTATATAACGACAGTAGAAAGAAGCATACATCTGCAGAGGCTCATGTGACACAACAAAGACAATCTGCATATTAACAATAACAGAACTCCAGAGTGTTCTGCGTTTAACTAGCAATGAACAAGGGGCAGTATATTTTACAACCACTACAGCGACCTTGTCTCTGATAACTAAGGAGAAAAATATAAAGACAAGAAAGAACAAAAAATGTCTACCGACCCAAACCTAAGTCCGCACCGAAAAAACAGAAAAGTAAACTGACATAGTGTCAGTCCAGCTTGACAGGAGTCCAGTCTACAGTTTGGTTCTCTATGCCAAAGGAGACAAACGCATATGTTCTTCTTATTGTTAAAGCATTGCTATGTCTCCTGCCCTGTATAGCACTAGATCTACTGCTCAGGTCTCTGTTAAATGTTCCCAGAATGAAGTGTGAGCCAGGTAAAACGGCTTATTCTTGTCATGCACCCTGGCTGCAAAACACTGTTATCTTAGAAACATGGTACAGGCTTCTTCACAGCGCCCTGGAGGAAACACAGGTAGTTTTCCTGAGTTGCTTCTGTTCTTTTTCTTTATTCTTCCCCTTGTTTTCTTTGTTTTCTTCACTTTTACCTTCTCATATTTTTCTTTTGTATCCAGCTTTCAGCTCCTCTCCCTCTCTCTGCTTTTCCTTCCTCTCACACTTTCACCTTCCCTTTCTCCTAATCCAAACTTTTTTCCTCCATCCTGACCCTCCTCTTCCTCCTCCTCCCCCGTCTTGTAGGTGAGCAGCATGATTGGGCGGCAGGTTGGAGGGGTAGGCTTTTGGAAATCACATGGTTCACATTTCCAGCCCTGGGAGACGCCATTTTGGAGGAAAGTTTGGAATTTGTAAACCTGGAGAGGTGAAGGAGCAGGAGGTGAAGGAGGAAGAACAGGGACAGAGGAGGAGGTGGTGGAAAAACCCAAACAGCAAGCAGAAGAGGGATTTAGACTGAGAGAAGTTTGACACGGATGGACAACGCTGGTAATGAGTAGGATAAGTGAGCCTGGACCTGAGGTGTGCCACCAGCCTGGAAGTTTTTTATCTCGGTAATAACCACCAGAGCCCCGCAGCGGATCGCTTTCCTCCACCACAGTTGCAGCAGCGGTCAGCCTGTGCATGCGCCGCCTGCACGGAAACGGACTGGTTTTTACACGGACTTTGACACAGTTCCTCAAGGCTAGATTCACACTTTTTAACCAGCCGTGTGTCGCCACTGCGGTCAGCCTGCGCGGTGCACGGCGGGGCAGGGAGCCTCTCAGGCGGGGAACTACGGCGCGGAGAGTCGGTAACAGACGGAGCTGGTTCCGGGTTCCCGCTCGCTGTCGCTGGTATTAGTTTGAACCGGGTCTGGTGTTGTTTTGTCTTTTTCCCCGGAGAGTTGGAGCTGTTATTTTCGTTGGACGTGTCAGTCTCCCCTGACAGTTACTTTGGAGGTTTGTTTGGCTCGGAGCGGAACTTGGCGTTGTCGTGGACGGGTTTTCTTCAGCCCGACTTGGAGTGCTGACCGCCGTGTTTAACGGGCGGAATAACGAATAAAAACACTCGTGCTGTGTGGGGGTGTATGTGGCTGACACACAACTAGACCGAGCCGAGCCGAGCTAGACCCGACCATGCCCGTCAGAAAGAAAGGTAAGCTGCTTTCACTTCTCATGTAAACTAGCAAGCTAGCAGGGCTAGCCTGCTGGGGGGTACCAACAACACCTAAACAAACACGGACACACACGCAACTCCACCTAAACACACACCACACGCCCTGTGTGGCGTGGTCTTTCTGAGCCGAGCCGTGCCAGTCAGGTGAAGTGAGTTAAAGTAGGGCTAGCCGGTTAGCCGCGGTTGCTAACAAGTTGTAAATGGGGCACCTCGTCTGGAGACGAGCCCGGCCAGAAATAAACTCTAATATTAATAAAACATTTTGCATCCCTGAAGTAGACTAACAGGAAAATTTTGAAAAATATCCTCGTATAATTGCTATAGAGACAAACGTGTCTACTTTTACTTTTATCGTTGAAAAAAATGGAAATCTGCAAAGTGTCCAAGTACCAATAGTAACCTAATTATGTTTATAAAGGTAATAGCTAATAATTAGATTTTACCTCCCATATTGTCAGTACAATACCATGAGGACACAGTTTTGTTGAGTCTGTGAATTTTATTGTAATAGATATAATGAGTGGTGGAAGAAGTACTCAGATCCTTTACTGGACTACCTTTACTGTAGTAATACCACAGTGTACAAATACTCTGTTAAGAGTAAGAGTTCCCCATTCAAATTTTAAAGTGTCAGCATCCAAATCTACCTGAAGTACCAACAGTACCAGTACTCGTCCTGCAGAACGTCACTGTCTTGTATGTAATGTCTCTGATACTACTGGATCATAGTGACTAATGATTACTGTGTCCATCACTTTAATGCTGCAGCTGGTAAAGGTGGAGCTGATGGTAACTACCTTATATACTTATACTGTGAAGTGCTTTACATCCTGTTGGGTAGCTGGTGGATATCCCACCGGGATCAATAGAGTCTGATGGTTCTACAGGGTTTGGTTTGATTCATCTGATTCTGGAAAGGAACTGAAGTTATCAGGTACATGTAAACCTTTCCACTTAGCCTCTTTTTAGGCAAACCAAACTCCATTCATACTGGCTTTAAACCTGCCCACAGTCTTAAATCTTTTCCCATCTGGACTTTGAAGTGAGACTGCCCACTATGTGCACAGGGCCAGCAGAGCGCAGAGCTCAGTGCTGAGGGATTATTGCTGCAGACAGCAGCTGTGGCTCTGCCTGTCTGCACAGCTGAAGCTGCTGCCATCATGTCTCAGATCAGTTTCCATTAGACCCAGTATGAATCTGTTCTGCTTTGTCGTATCCCCCGCTCACCTCTGCTGCTTCCTCCTCCTGTGGTCCAGATGCACAGCGAGCCCTGCTGCTGCTGGAGGAGTACCGGGCCAAGCTGAACCACACAGAGGACCGGCAGCTCCGGCACTCTATCCAGAGGGTCATTGACATCTTCCAGAGCAACCTCTTCCAAGCTCTCATAGGTACAGTCGCCTCTTTCTGAATCCAGAATGCTTCACATATGGGACACCACACATCCTGCAGACAACCTGGGGCTCAGCTTTCTAGTCCTGGAAAGTCTAGAAATAATGACAAAATAGGTAAAAAAAATCCTGGAAAGCAAGGAGCCATCCTGCAAAGGTTTGATTAGGCTCTTAGACAAACTGTTAGTGCTTCAAAGCCACAAACTGTACAACATAATAGATCAGAAAATTATCATTTAATTAAAGAAAGCTGCATTTAAATATAACTGAAGTGTTTGTCCTGAAAGGGTTTGACTCAGGTGTCCCAGTAGCACAAATCATTTTAGTGAGATTGTGCTGTCATGCAGTAAAAACTTTTGGAAACTGGAGGAAACACAGAATTCAGATTTTTTTTTAAACCCGTCATCCAAAGACACTTTCTTCTATGACACACTCCTCTGTGACACATTAATATGTTTATGGGGCATGAATGGGATTCAAACCAGGAACAGCTCGACTGTTTGCACGTGTGAGGTTTGTGTTTCAGACACCTAGATAAACAGCCCACTATCCCACACAACATCCACAGGGATATGTTTCTGTCACTGAGCACAGAGTGAGGAACAGGCTGCCTCAGAAAACCGTCCTGACACGGTGACAGTAGTCAAAGAGTGCCAGTGATGTGCTGGGCAACCTTTTAGTCAAGGATTCATTTTCACTTAAATGCTGAATGTCCCTGTAAATAAACCAGGATATGGGCTTGTGTTGATGACTTCGTAAATTACTGAGAAGTGTGTGGGACTGACGACATGTTCTGTAATGCCACTGCTGATGTACAACCCCAAATCACTAAAAGTCAGGATGGTGTGTAAAATCAAAATGAAAAAGATAGGAAGGCATTTGGATCTGTCGCCCTCTACGGTGCAGAACATCATTACAAGATTTAAGGAATCTGGAGGGATTTCAGTGCGCAAAGGCTGAGGGCTGAGCCTGAGCTGGATGACCGAGCTCTCAGACGGTGCCGTATCAAGAATCGTCACTCTTCTATAAGCGATATAACCACGTGGGCTAAAGATGACTTTGGCTCACCTGTGTCAGGTGCTACAATACGTAGTTACAAACATAAATGCTGCTTAAAACTGTACTGTGCCAAAAGGAAGCCCTATGTCAACAGTGTGCAGGGGTCGACTGCTCTGGACTTGGAGGTGTCTGGGATGGACCATCACACAGTGGAAACGTGCACTGTGGTCAGACCAATCAGATTTTCAGGTCTTTTTTGGAAGGAATGGACACCGTGTGTTCCGGACCAAAGATGAAAAGGAAGGATATACTTTATTGCATGATGACCTGTGTCCAGTATGGAGTCGCCAGCCTTTCTGATAGCGCCTTCGATTCCTCTCTCTGACCATATGGCTGCGTTCCAGGGCTCAGCTGCTTGGTCAGCCAGAAAAGGGAGACCGGCAGCGGCCCTGGCGAGCGCTCCTGTGCAATGGAAAATACTTGGAGAAAGTCAAGTTTGTGTGCACTGAGGCTGCTGGGTGCAAATACAGTGTCTGAGCCCATGAAATAAACTAATGCTCTGCAATTACAAAGCCCCTTGGTGCTGGTGCTTGGTTGGTGGTGTACATGACTTTCAGTGTGGGATGGTTTGCAGCAGAGACACCTGGGGCCTATTTCAAGAAGGCGGTTTAACAAACTCAGAGTTCAAACCTGAACTCTGAGTTGACTTACTCAGAGTTGGACAACTCGGAGTTTTCGGTTTCAGAACAGCTGAAAAGAGTTGGTTTAATCAACTCTGAGTTGTCTGACTCAGAGTTAGGCGCGTGCCACGCGACTATAAAAAGCCCTGAACAATGGAGTGAAGAAATTACGAGTCACCATGGCAACAGGACCAAGCCAAAATAGGTCTGCGTTTTTCCCCGACAGAAATGGATGTGCTACTACAAGCATATAGTGACTACGAGCCCATATTCCGTAAGAGAAGCAACACGGTTGCAGCGGCGAAAGAGAGAGAGTTAGCTTGGGGGAAAATAGCTGCCCGAGTCAATGCGTAAGTTTACATTTTAATCATACAGTGGTCGGTGTAAGTAATTACTAAATAATGTTAGTAATGTGATTATTTGTCACTTGTAAAGTAAGGAATGGTTCTTAATTCGTCAATAATTTAATGAGTAACGTCAGTAATTGCATAAAATGCCGATTGTTGTACGAATTAAAAGTGCAGTTTTATGTCTACCCTTTCTTAAAATTCCTATTGTGGTTGATATGGGATTTGTAAGGTAATGAGTAATAGGTAATCCAATACGTCTTATGGAGAGTAATTATTACATTAATCAAAATACCTTTTTTAAAATGTACCCAAGACTGATGTAGTAATATAAGAATTGTATTTTATTTTTCATGTAGGTGCAATCCTGCAGGCATAAAAAGAACGTGGCAGCAGCTAAAAATGAAATATAAAAACATAATTCAAACAGGTAAGGCTTGATCATATCATGGGTGTAGACTACCTGACTCTACAAACATTTGACATATTAAATAACTAAATAGCCTGCAGAGTATAGCAGTGCAGCAGCATTTTCAACATGGGTGAAATGTTGTTTTCATACAATTAAATCATTTGACAACTACTCAGCCAACAGAAAGAAGGCAGAGGCCAGAAAAACTGGTGGAGGACCTGCACCACCACCACTGACACATGCAGAGGAGATGGCCCTCAGCCTGAGCACTGGAAAGCCAGTGGCTGAGGGAATTCCTGGAGGGAGTTCATCAGAACCAGTCACTCCCCAGGATACAAGTGCATTCATTACATGTAAGAGGCCTACCTATATATTCTATTTTTTACATAGGCTACTTTTGATATATCCATTTATTACACTCTGGGTTGGGTTTTTTTGTTGGTCTTAACAGATTCTGATGGTAATATCTGCCTTTTGGAGCCTCCTGTCACAGCAGAACCCCAGGCTGTTGTAAGTATCCTACTAAATAAAGCTTAAATTATGATAGGTAGTATTATAAAGTGTACTCTATTTTTTTTCCAGCAGGTTAGGTTCACAGAGTAATTTAGTAACTGACTCTGAGTTTAGATTACCTCTCTTTGTGAAACGGGTTTAACTTACCCCGCTTCACGGGTTTAAGTTACCTCCGTTTCTGAAACCGAAAACTCCGAGTTGCCCTCATTTCGGGGTTAACAAACTCTGAGTTTCGACAAAACCGCCTTCTTGAAATAGGCCCCTTAGTGCACAGTCTGACTCTTGTTTTCTGCTATCATCACAGCCACCGGTCTGTGGGGTAAACCACAGATTTAGTTCAGATTACAGTCAAACATCACTTGATACATGTCAGTAAACTGATCATGATTTAACAGGCCCCCCGGCCTCTCAGACCTCGCCATGTTTGTAGACCTGTGGGCATCGTGGCTACAACCGTCCTCATGTTTGTTTCTTTTATGTGTGCCGTCACAGCAGGGCGACGGGTCATAAAGTCTGTCGGTGTTGGCGTGACCGTCCAGGGGGCTGAGAGCACACAGCAGCAGCACGTGGCAGAGGGAGAGTTGGAGGGAATCTGCTGAATGTGCTGAGAGGATGAGAAAACAGCAGCTCATAAAGGGAAGGGTAGGCTGTTGTGACAGGAGAGGTCAGAGGTCAGGAGTGTTCACTTGGATGTGTTTGAAGTGGAGACTACCATCAGTAGGTCTGGTCAGGCTTCTGGTTCTGTCAGCCATGATGCAGGTTCATAGTCGTATACAGAAATGCTCCAAACAACAGAGCAACCTGAAATTTTGTTGCACTGTTAAAAAAAAAATAAAATAAATTTCCAGATCGACTCCATAAATTTTCCCATGTCACCGGGACATGTTTCTGTCTGATGACTCACTTTGGCCGTGTCCACGTCCCAGGCCTTAACTCTCAGCTCTGACCTTGTTGTGTCTCTGCTTCCCGTCCATGTGTGTCAGTGCCATGTACCCGGCTCCGGTGTGAACACCACTGAGCTCCTAAACTGCCACATGCACAGATGTAACTGAAATGTGAGCCACGTGCACAAGAATAACAACCAGGTGGTGTGTGCGATGGTCAAATGGCCCAGTTTCCTCCAAAACCACTGGGTTATGATATGTTCCTTCCAGTTTGGCCTGATCAGAAGTGTCTCCATAAACGTCCACCGCATGTGAAACATCCTGGTATCTCCACTGACCCCGTCACTGTCATCGCTCTCCTCCATGTTTATTGTTACCGGTCTGTGAGGGGCTGACGGCGAAGGATGGCGACAGGTTGTGTGTGGCTCCTTTTTGTGGGTTCAGGTGAAACAGAAGTCGCCCTGCAGGTTTCCAGCGCTCAGTGTTTGGGTGGCGTTTGTGTGGCCGGCTGCCAGCGCCAGCTAACGGGACCAGAGTAAACGGAGACACTGCTGCGGTGTTGATGGACGCCTGGCAGCCGGAATGTGCTTTGTTCTGTTTGAGTTTCCCAGGATTGACTGACTGACTCGTTTTCAGCTGCCTGACTGTGAAATGCAGCTCAGCAAACCCAGCCATCACGGGGTGAAGTGCATGAAATACGGTTTGACTTTTAGCCTAATGTTTTAACATTTCTGCAAGTAAAACATCTAGTCTCGAGAATTCATAGAGGTCTTAAATCTAGTGCAGCCAGACTCCATTCATCTGATGCAAAACAGGTTTTTGTTGTTGGTGTCGATCAAATAGCTGTGTGACTGTGCTCATTCTAATTTCAATTATTAAGTTGCTCAGAGGCAGTATTAAAGTCTCAGTAACAAGTTATTAAGGCAACTAAGGACAACAAGAATCTTTAAATAAGTGAAACATACAAACATCCTGGTAAGAAGAACCGTCTTGTCAGACAAAATCGAGCATCTGTTACTTTGATTTAAGATCTTTTGTTTTACTTAGATTGCACCTAAAACCTGAAGCTGACCTGACGTTTCCCTCATACTGGACCTTTACACCGACAGGCAGGCTCCCTTTAAATTGACGTCTGACACTGCCAAGGTGCAGTGCGTTCACACACACATAACTAAAAGGTTGGAGACCCTGTGTTCTAATTATGACTCCACGATCTTGTAATAACAAGATGATGTCCCAGTAACGGTGCAGGACTTGGAGCGCTGCAGAGCCCACCTGAGAATACCTGCAGTGGTTTGTAGAGTGAAGTTACATGAACAGATCTGGTGCCAGTGGCAGACTTAGACTGTTGTAAGTTCACTAGTATTTGGTTGTTTTTGTTCTTAGTTAACAGATTTGTAGTTTAAGGTTTTACATGTTGTCGTCTGGTTTAGTGTTGCGTGGCTGTTTCCTGTCATGCTGCATGAAACCTGTTCTTCTGCTGTTTCCAACGCTCTCTTGCAAAAGAGGTTGTGAACCTCAGCGGGACTTTGCCTGGTGAAGGCTAATTAAAAGTTAAAACTTTTTGAAAATGACCCAGATCTCTAATCTATAGATAAATACTGAATGTTAAATGTTCTCTGTGTACATTGTCTGTACAGTAGCCGTGTTGCTGGTGTCCCCCGGCTAGAGGCATCACCTCCACCAGCTGTTCCTCCATCAGCTGTATCAGGTCTCAGCTACATTTGGATGGAAACTTGCATGTTGTTCGACTTAACAGTGAGCTTTATTTTGGTGCTGCAGTGTTTCTTCATACTACTGTGACACGTACACATTCTCTCACTCTGTGTGTGTGTGTGTGTGTGCTTGTCATGCTCGCCCTGATGTCCCAGAATCTGAGTATCGCTGCTGAAAAATAGATTTCTGCCACACAGTTTTCAATCTGCAGCAGGCAGAGCACATTGTAATCCCTCTGTGGACACGACGATTACTCCAACTCCATAATCCCACCCCACCGCCACTGCTGATTTCCACAGGGAGAGAGCCGTGTGCCTCACTTAGTTTTTCTCCTCATTCTTTCAGTTCACTCTGGCCTGACTCCTCTCAGAGAAACAGATTTCAGATTTGAGATTCTGTCATCCTGCTCCTTGCACCGTGTCCGAGCTCTGCAGGTTTTCAGTGGCTCACACTTTTGACGTCCAAGGCCGAGGGTCAAAACCGACACTGCCCATAAAGATTAGTCAAACAAAGTGGTAAATTATCTGGTGTTTCATGTGTTAGGAGATTTGGTTCGTCAGTTTGAGACCCAGATATGTTGAATGTACAGTGATGGGTCACTGCTGCCCTCGTCATCACAAGCTGCAGCTGCTGTTTTTGCAGACTTTGCAAGTCAGTCGGCAAAAACCTTTTTGTTTCTCTGAGCGCCAGCTGTGGGTTTCCTCTTTGGCTCTGTGTTTCATTGGACGGAACATGCAGCTAACTGCCCGAGTGCAGGATGGAAAAGCTCTCACTGCCGTTACAGGCTGCATCAGCAGCCACCATGGCCTGTTTGGTAGTTCATGCCTCAAGTGTTTTGG